TGACAGATCATATGATAATAGTTTTGTTTGTGTGGTTGCTGGTTTGTAAAATAATTGTAAACGTAAAATAAAAAATGAAATAATTGGATGTTGTGTCTTGTGTCGTGATAATCGTGATATGGTCGTGATCGTGCTTTTCAATGTGAGATTGCCAGGAAGGATATGTCGTCGTCGAGTCGTTTTCGATGGTTTAAGTGCGAATATGAACCAACAAGAACACAGGACGATATTAGTCTGGAATGGACTCGATATTAGTATTTGTTTGCTCTCGGGAGTTTTGCTGTTCGAGCAGGTATGAGAAAATCTACTAGGTGAGTCGATTTTCAACTTTGTGTATGTTGTGTACCTATTTATTGTCTGCTAATTTGGTATCTACCCGCTGGGGCCTTATTTTCGAAATGAAGGAAGGGGGACGTCATTCCCCTCATGTTTCTCTCCGTCTCTTGTGATCCATGGAGATAATCACCCCCCAGTTCTCTCAGTAAACTTTAAAAAATAAGGCTCCTGTACATATTACATTCACCTCTATTAGTTTCCATAACCTATTCCAATTCATATTCATTCTGTGACCAATTTTTATCAGGATATTCGTCTCTGAAACAATTTGGCATCACTGTCTTGTTTTGACGTTAGTGAATGACGAATTGGAGATTCCCTGGGATTCCGCAGATTTCCCTTGCTTCCCAGTGGCGTACTCGAATTTCGAAGCATTTTATGTTCAATTTTCAAAATGAAATTTCTCGTTAATGTGAAGACTTAGGAAAAATCAAATATCTTAGTAATTTTTGTTAGACTCTCTCATATATATGTGTTGAATATATGCACTCATTTTAAAATCAGCCTGTATACGTACGGTACTCAGTCCAACTTGTACAAATTTATATTATGGAGTTATTATTATATTTCATAGTTATAAATTCTCGGTCGAGAAATATAACATCTCATTATTGGAGTCGTTATGTCTAACCACCTCTAATAACGGTGATAAAACGTGTCTAGAAGGTAGATGAAACACGTTTTGAATTTGTTGATGAAATAAAGGTTGGAAAATGGTTCGAAAATGGTACTCGATATCCTGGAAAATTGATAGGGATGATGAGATTAGACTGTTATACATACAGATATTTCATGAAAACTGATCAATGATTTGTCAGAATTTGTTTCGATAATGAGCTGAAATTTCAGATCAAAATATTGAAACAAGGAGGATTTTGAGGAGCTAGTTCGTCTTTACAACTAAAAAGGCAAAGGAAAAGTGGCTGCACTCAAGGACACAAAGGTGATCCAACTAATTAATGGTATGTTCCGTTTCTCATAATAATTATATTGAATAATTTATGCAGTTGCTGTCGAAAGGAAGTTTGGAGCAGCATCTGATGTCCATATTGCAGATGCAACCAAGGACTGGTTGAAGTTTGCGAAGAAACGGATGAAGAACGTCATCAAGTCTCGAGTCGAAAACAAAATAGTAATACCTATCTGATTGAGATTTCATTGATATCTAGGATGACTATACACATTATGAATCTTGTATTTGTATTTTGGTTATTTTTATTATTATTAATTGATTTGCAGTAATAATAAAGATTGATCCGTAGTAGGGATGGAAAAGTTACTTCACCTCATGTCTTAGAAACGTTTTAGTTACGTTTAAAATTGGTAGTAATATCGATTCGACGATAACGTTAACGTAAACGTAGAAATTGACAGCTACGCATGCGCATTTTCCAATTCGTCACGTTTGCGTTGTTAGTGGGCTTACGGGTGTACGTTATCTCACGTTCCTTCACGTATACCTCAAATATCAACGTACGTTAACCAAACTATACTAAATATGCCGATGAGTCAAAATTATCAAATTCGAGATCACCAACGAGTTCTGCACCAAGGAGTCCTCTAATTTTGACAGGAATAAATGTTCGAATCTAAACACACAACCAAAAATGACCAATACAAACCTAAAACAAAATGTATTATTACGTTATGATGACAGTGACGACCAAAGTGGCGACTTCAACTCAATTTTCCGTACGTTAACGTCTACGTGGAGGTCTACGTACAGTGATTACTTCAACTCTCTAATGTTAACACCAACGTTCAGAATTCGTATGTCAGCAACGTTATTTTTAAACCAAGTTCAGAACGTATAGAGAACGTAGAGAAACTGTTGATTTCTATGGTTACGTCGGAACTGAAATGAAACGGTATATTTCAGTAGAATTCACATTACGTGTGCTACGTGTGCAACGTCTTAGTTACGATGAATCAACGTGAAGAGGTAACGGTACTGTAGAACCAGAATAAAACGTATTGCCTAACAACATTTTGCGGTTTCTTCAACGATGAATAATAGAAGCGTTACTTGAAGAATCCAACGTTTTTTCCACGTAGCTGTGTATATTGGGCTGAGGGAAAATGACTCACGTACTGGTCTGAATTACCAGGATTAACCCACTAGAAGGCGTTTCTGCCTACTCCATCAAAAAATATAAGCATGGAGATCCTAGAATGGCGCAGGGGTAATCTGCGAATTCTGACAGGACTGCTTACGGGTCACTAACGTCTAAGATACCACCTAGGAAGGATGGGTCTGAACCAACAACCGGACTGTCTTTTCTGCTGTGTGGAAGATGAAACAACTGAACCCATACTATGTTCATGCTCTTGCTTAGAGACACTAAGGTTTGACATATCGACTTCACCAATTCAGAACCCATCGATTTTAGACAAATCTCACATCATTCAACCATGGACGTTCTAGAAAGAAGTGGATTTTACAGTGAACTGTAACCTCTAGTGGTGAACCATAATAGACCCATTTGGGGTCTCCGTGGAGGGGCGGAGTTCGCCACACTCACATGGAACCCAACCTAACCCTATTCAAGCGGTTATTAGGACGATGGGAAATAGGAGTGATTATGGATCTTATATAGAAAAATTACAATTAATCGCAGAATATCCCACATTCGGATATTATAATTTGGGGAATTCACTGTGTATATCATAATATTGATAGATCAAACTCGCTGATGAACTCTACCTCAAGGGTGGTGTGGAAACGAGTTGAAAATTATATTTCCCTCTTTTCAAGAAGCTTTTAATATCGATCTATTGTAGGAGCACGCTTCAAGAATTCATATCTTTTATCCTTTATATACGAAGAAGTACCTATATCAAATCGGGCAAGTGTTAACTCGAAAAATATAACTCTTATAGCAAAAAAATATTATAAAATTGTTTGGTAGCCATTGCAGGCAGCATACTAACGTCATATTAATGTACATTTTTTGTCACCCTGGACATCTATTCGACCTAACGAATGACGTCATGATGACGGTAGGATTACAGCACAAAATACGTGATTTTGTGACGTTATTTCTACGTGATATTTCGACGTCAATTGGTTCATTCGGGTGACGTCAATTCGACGTTCAAAAGACGTCAATTCGACCGTTATAGTTCACGTCAATTCGACGAACAGTTCACCTCAATTCGACGTAGTTTGACGATATTTTTCGCCATCTTTGACGTCTCATCACCTAAAGAATTACGTTTTCATAATGATGAAATGAGAGAGATCCTTTCAATATATAAACAGTCACTGTAATTCAAAAATGAGCCAGGTACATCTGGCAGTTGACAAGTGATGACTTCAAGCACTGGAAGTAATAATTCCTATGGTGACAGCATAGTGTTGTAGGCAAGATGTTGTTGGTATAAGGCCTGTAAAAGAAAGCAAAATCAGAGAAATAGTTATTTATTATACAAGGAAAAAAAGTAGTAGATTTTAGCTCTAGGTTGCGCGTAGCGCAGGGAGACAAAAAACCGTGAGCTAAAATCGAATATTTTTTCCGTCTATAATACACTTTTTTTGTGACAGAAGGAAGGACGAATCAATATTGAGAAGATATTACATTATTTCGAAATCTGAAAATTATCGACGTGAAATTTTAAGTTTTTAACAGTAGGGACACCTGCGTTGTAGGCATCTTTATCATTCTTTTGAAGTAATCAAATATCTGATGTCACTTCTGTCAGTCTAATACTGTGATTTGATTTAAAAAAAAAATGCGAATTTAGTGGTTGTTTAGTAATATATACGTAACCGCGAATGGGAGATAAAAGGACTTTCTCGGAGACGGTATTATTGACTCAATTTTCGGAACTATAGCACAACAAAAGCCATCAACAGTTTATATATATGTGATATATATCCGGGAAAAAGTACTCTCTTTTCCACGGGAAAAAAGTAATTTATGAAAAGTGACATTTTATGACCTGCCAACAGAGATGAAATGCCAAACTTTTTTCCTGTCACAGATAAAAATAGACTTACTTTCATCCAATGCGTAGATGTGGAAAACTATTAAGGTTGATAATTACCTATCGGTGAAATGCAATGAACAGTCTCACCAATGAATTCATTGGCAAGCAATTTTTTAAAAGTGAAAACTGAAAAGAAGAAAATTTTAAATTTCATGAGAGAGTAGGAAATAATGAAATTGAAAACATACAATAATGTATATCTCATGCCCACTAAACAAAGTTGAAAAATATATGAAATATTGCGAATGTGAAATTTGTAGATGTAACGTTTCAGTAATGTCACAGCAACAAGTCATATTGCTGCAACGCTACATTATCAAGCACCACCTTTGCAATATTGCTGAACGTCCGTTTCAGTTATAATTGCTTCAATTGCATCAATATAGTTTCGAGCTTTGGTTAGTGAGTTGATTTATCAAAACAGTAAAACAAGAGCAATTTTGGGTCATAACCGTCAAAAAACATATTTTGAATGTGAGTTTTGGCATTAGGAGAGTGATTCACAAGATTGAACAGGATTCGACTTCAACACATGCGTTTATTTCGTAGGGAGGTATGGGAAAATAGTGCCTTCCTAGTATCCATTTAAAAACAAGCCGACCCGTTTTTATTGCTGACCACTTTAATCAATTTTGGTGGATAGAATCACAGATAAGCATCGGCTTGGTGTTGTTGCAATTGTTTGTGTCTACTACCCACACATGCATGACCGTCATTAAATAATTATTGATAATGAAACTATTAGATATTGTGCATCAGTTAATTTTGAGCTGCGCGATGAATAGGAACGTCGACAACTTGTTGATCACAAATAAAAAAGAAGTAAGGAAAGCTATCCATAAATCCGAGGAAGATATTTTTGAATATATCAGAATAATCAGGGAGTTCCTCAAAGCCCAATCCCATTTACCAGAAATTCCGAGTGAGTAATTTTGTATACGTAGTATAGGTACCTATAATGATAATATTCATTTTCATTGATATATTTTTTTATATCTTCTCCCGAGTCTTCTCCAAATGGTTTATCATTATACAGGGTGAGTCATGAGGAACGGTACAAACTCTTTCCATGAATAGAGGCACTTGAGGGGAATACCTATAATGACTATCAGAAAGTGTCTCCTTCTCTTCTTTACCAATATATAGGGTGAATTATGAGATTTGGCAGAAACATCTTTTGATTATAACTTCCCAACAGCGTTGATTGATATATTACGCTTACCCATCAGCGTAAGCGTAATATATCAATCAACGCCAACAGCTCCTTTAATTCGTCTGATTTTTTCATGAAATGTTCCTCTACTGAACCCTAAAATTGACTGACCTATTCATAATCGAGGAAATCCAGGACCGTTTTTGAAAAATTCTGATAGTTCAGTTTTTAACAAAAAGTTCATCCTGTATATGGTTTATTTAAACTGTGATAGGAAATTTTCAAAGCACACAAACGTGCATCAAAAATGACATATTCAAAAGTCTCCTCACACCTCACAGAATTTTTCAGAAAACGATAAATTATGAACAAAAACGAAAGTTTGACAACAAATTCTATATTCATTCGAAAATAATTACTTCGCGACGCATAAAATTCACAAATAAAAGTAAACCTCACATTTTCAGTGCTTTAGCCCAAAGGAAATCAACATATGTTCATTTATTCCAATAAAAGTTTACTCATGATTACTTTTCAAAAGCTTTACTGACAAAGGCGGATAATAATTCTAGTACGACAAATAAGTGACCAAATTAACTGATTAAATCAAATCGAATAGATAAAACTTCGAATTGAAATCATAAAATTATTTATAGCGATGGCCATCAACACTTTCATATATAACTCATCAACTGATTCAAAAAAGATCTACAGGGTGATTCTTATCCTCCACAAAAAATTCAAATACTGAATCCAGGCCTGATAATAAAATAATTTGTTGATTTTCATTAAGCTGAAGCATTGAAAATATAAGTCACACTTCAATTTATGAAATCCATGTACTATCAATCTCCAAATGAATAAATTTTTTTCTCAAATTTTCGTTTTTTCATAAAATTTATATTTTTTATCAAACTGCAGTGAAAGTGTGAGGAGAATTTGAAATATTTAATTTCCAATGTTTGTTTGTGACCTTTGAAAATAACCTGTCAAAGTTTACAAAAACGATATACAGGATGAACTTTTTGCTATAAACTAAACTATCAAAATTTCTCAAGAACGGTCCTGGATTTCCTCGATTCTGAACGTGAATAAGTCAGTCGATTAGAGAGTAGTAGCGGACTATTCCAGAAGCTGTTGGAAAGTAATGACCAAAAGATGTTTTTGCCAAATCTCATAATCCACCCTTTATATCGGAAAAGAAGTGTAGAAGACACTTTCTGATGGACATTAGGTATTCCTCTCAGGGTCTTCTATTCGTGGTAGGAGTATGTACAGTTCCCCACGAGTCACCCTGTATAAGTTATTTTATCGATTAGAAATTGATTTCTTATGTATAGGTAGTTTGGTAGGTAACTCACCGAGATGGGAATTTCAGTTTTGGAGTGTTTCTTTCCCTCTGCTCTAGATGGCGCTGTTTCCATGTTGCCATGGATCAGTTTCTCTGAGCGTATAAAGATGTCGATCTGAATTACCGTTACGTCAGGTTTTGCTTAGGCGGCGGTCTTCGGACTGCTTTCTGGCGACTACCCCTACACTGATGGGGACTAAAAGACCAAAATCGGTCTGTAGTTATCAAGCGTTAACCTGGCTACAATTCGTTGTGATGTTTAGGTCGTTGATGTTGGTTGTAGTCAAAACTATCATCAGAACTATCAAACCATGCTCTTATTCCCCATTTACATAACTTGACTAACTGTTCCTTCCTAATCTGTCCATCGTCATCTCTGTCACCTCTGTCTTATCTGTCATCACAATGTCAAGTCCTGTTCGTTTGTGCTTGCGCTACCTGCTGAACTTGATTTTTTGCATGACTTTCTCTGTTTACATCATGACATGAACAGAGACTACAATGTGAAAAAAATCAACTTTAGCAAGCTAATCTCTACTTGACTATGCAGTTGACCAGCTAAATACTACATTCGTCATTTAGGAAAGAAACAATTATTGTAATCAGTTTTCATTCATACAAATCGTTGCCTAGATTTCGGCAGAATGTGATTACGTTATACTCGCGGCGTGGTATTCGAGCCAGTCATCTACCATTGTTGTTGTTCATGTTATTGAACACTTGTAGAAATGAATTTTTGTTTTCCTTCTTCTTCATATATATTACTCACCAGCTAGTCGTTCTTGATCTGGACAGACTCGCGTTTAGGTATTACGCCACACAGTTCCTAACTACAATATACATGGTTATTTTGAAATAAGTGCACATATTCAGCACATCAATATGATACAGTCTAAGGAATATTCCCATGATATTAGATTTCATCTAATTCTTCTAATTAACGAGAAATTCCAAAAATTGAACAAAATACGAGAAAAAAATCAAGTACGCCACTTTGAAACAATTTAAATGATTGAACTCCGCGTGATTGTGCCTACGGCATGGAAATTTGAACAGAGGTGACGTCAGATTTGCTACAGTGTAGAACTATGGGTGAAAAAAGGGGTCTCACCTCAAATTTTATTTTGATCCCTATTTTTTTTATTAGTGTCATTCGATAGTACACATAGAGTTTTCTCAGTGTTTGAATTATTTGCACTTATTTCAATGCCACCCTGTATAATCGGACAAATTCAATAGGCGGTAGAACCTGTAAAAATCAAGAGAATAGTTCATGCAAACTGAAACTTGTATGTTTTGGAGCTTCGTTTTCTAGATACAAAATTCGATCTTTATTAATCACTGCTCAAAAAGTCTTCATCTATCACTCGTGAATACTTGAAACGGAAATAATAGGAAACTAAACTTCTAATAGTTTTTTTGATGCATCCTCACCAAATTTTTCAATGTTGAAATTTAATAAAAATAAAAAACGAAATGTTGGGATGTCAATACAATGAATCCCTTTCTTTATTAGCACGTCCTCAAAACGAGAACTGCCATCCTGAAACAACTGTTCTTCAAGTATCTTTGCCTAATTTAGATCGCAGCTTTTTTTTTAACATTTTCTAGTTGCAACAGTAAATCAGGTTGAATATTGTTTTCCTACACATCTCCTAATTTACAGTTGCTACTATGAATTAGGACAAGTGTAAAAGGAAAAAGATTCATCTCAACAGATGTAATTTTAAATTAGGAGACGTGTAGAAAAACTATTAGGTATCTGCCTTATTTACAGTTGCAACTGAAAATGAGCCCGAATTTACAATTGCAACTGTATAAATTAGCAGATGTACGTATAGGAAATAAGTTTTATTGACGCAAATCACAGTTGCAACTGTGAATTAAGAGCTATATTACAGTTGCAACTAATAGATGTGTGTAGACAAAAAAGTATCATCTGCCTAATTTACAGTTCTGTTGGTTCATAGCCGTCGTATATATGTACCTAAATGCTGTGTTCGATGTTATATTTCCTCATTGGAAATTCGTTTATAAATGAAACAGCAGCAGCAGAATATCCTACTAGTCATTATATTCTCATAATCAGGAATAAGTATAAGACCCACTGAACTCTTCATCCAAAACCGTGACAGGCATTCAGAGTGTTGGGACCAATTTATATTATATCATGATTTTCAGCAATGGCATTATACATCATCATTTTTTGTATCTTGCTGGGAAAACATGGTTAACTAAATGGCTTACTTGATTTTTATTAACAATACCAAATCCCCATTTCCTACGAGAAACGTTGATATCTCCACATTATTATTCATCATTAAAAATAATACTAATTACGACCGACTTAGTAATTACAGTGCTGTCCTTTCGGATAAATAAAGTTTCTTGTTGGGGTAATGAAGTCTTATTCTATGGTTACTATGAACTAGACTTCTTTCATATTTTTAAATCACCATTTAAAAAGAATATATGTACAGGGTGGGCCAAATTGGACACTTTCAAAGGGAAAGTCTTATTCCCGTACTAGATAGAAAAAAAAACTGATGTTGGTACCTGTTGATCAATTCACATGACAAACTCAATGGTGAAAACATACAATTTTTGCCCAAAAAAAATTGTAGCCACTTTTCAGAAATCCCCATTTTCGAAGAACACCTTGTAACTCCGAAACGAAGGCAGATATCGATATGCAGTTTTCACCATTGAGTTATGCATGAGAATTCTATCTAGTTGGAGAATAGGACTTTCCCTTTAATTTGGCCCACCTTGTACATACAAAGGTCAGCCGTTTTCGAAATTATCTGATTCATTAGTGAATTCTTATATATTTCAGCACATATTATAAACAAGGTGTTTGTCTTAAGAAGTTGAAGTTATCATATTTTTTGTCATTATCCGATGTGAATTTGATTTTCCTGGTGACTTCAAGAAATATTATGAGTGAAACAATACATCTTCTGTTTGAAATATTTTCTTCCTTCCATAATAATAAGGGCTCTAGGGGTTAGAATATGTATTGGAATATGTAATCTAGTACATTATTTAATTTAGTTCTAGTACAATAATTTTGTGATCATCTGCTTTTGATACTGACAGAATATATGTCAATATTGTCAATGCACTTTGGTCCGTGCTTTCTTTCTGATCTATAGTACTCTGTCATGTCTATTTCTTCATGTCTGAATGTGTCCTGCTAAATAAAACTAAAATCAACCTGCATCGGTTTTATTTCGTTACAAACTGTAGAGTTTAAGACGAAAATTCCAACAATATGATCAGCATAGAACCTTTATATTTTGAACTCATCATTCATGTATTGCAACAAAAACTATTTGTAATGATATCTGACAACTAATTTATTCGTTTGGTACAAATACCATATCAATCTGCTACAATAACCATTGGTAGTAACCCTAACTGAGTATCCTAATTGTGACTTATAGAATAGTTGTATTCCCAACTAGATTATTAGTAATCTCAAAAACCTTGTGAATAAAACAACTAAGCTTTCCATTTGATACAAATAGGTGTTTCCAAAAATTCAAAATTAGTTGCAGCAACAACATAATGTTGCTGACCCCCATCGTACTAATTTTTTTTACCGTAGTCACTATATTTTTGGTCATGGCTACATATTTTTCTCCTCAGTGTAGTTTCTCTGGTGTACTGTTAGTTGCATGAGGCGTACTCCTTTTCGCGAAAACTGTGATGCAGAATAAATAGAACTATGACGTTGAAAATGCTCTTAATTCATGAAATAATCTTAACGAATACATTCTCTTTTATTGATGTAAATAACTCTCCTATGCAACTCAAGGGTTTGCCTAATGCAACATAACTTGTTTCATAAAATCGAAAGAGTTAAAATTGTATTTCGATAATCATAAATCAATACCTACACTTGTATTACATGCGATAAATTTATGTACAATTTAATGGAGTCAAATAGGTATTGATGGACTGAATTTGAGAATTACAACTCTGGAAATGAATTGCAATCAGATCCACCGGAGAATCAAAACCAAATATCGAGATCAAAGTGCATTAACATGTATGAATCTATCAAAACATATTATTATTTGTGTAATTGTGTTTGTAGATGATTCGATAATCGAGGCATTCCTGATAACCAACAAATTCTCGATAGAGCAAACAAAGGAAAAATTAGATATGTACTACACAATTAGGACTCTTCTTCCAGAATGTTACGATAACAAACATCCAGCGTTATCACATATGCAGGATATATCTAACACCTTGTAAGTATTTTCTCGTGATTTACTTAGCATGCAGTCAACCACTTTCGACCTTCGAGATAGGTAGGTAACTACTTATAAATCGCAAATACCTCGAACATATCTGAAGTAAAATGAAAATCGATGAAACGACTCGACGAGAAGGCATTTGACCTATTTTGGCAATTGAGATTCCATCTTCAGTAGACAAAATATAAATTCTAAGAACGAGCGCCGAAAGTATGGAAAACATCACACAAGGGTGTGCATGGTTTAAAAACACCCATACCAACATATACAGGGTGAGTCAAAAATGTGTACCGAGCTTTCTGAAGGTGATAGTACATTGAAAAATAAATATAGTTTGATGTATAAACTAATGGCCCAGAATGTATATTAAGGAAGATGTATCCTTCCAAAGTTATTGGTTGAATTGAAGTTCTCATTAGTGCTTTAAATAAATAATATTATGTATATACCAAGATGTGACGATCTTGATAAATACACCGCCAGAGATAGAGATAATGGAAAAGCTGCGAGAGTTGGATTTGTTTCCGGAAATTTCAAGAAAAAAGTATGAATTGGCATATACGAAAAATCCATAGAATCTAAAGAAATACAGAAATAAAACCTTTTTCGGAAAGTGTACTTTTTTTAAATATACTCTGAGGAACTAGGAAAGGCGTCTACTCTTTGATCACAATATTCAATGTGGCATAGTGTCAAATTATAAAATGAATACCAATAAGTTACATAACTTGGATTCTTTGTATAAGTGCAGTTGTAGAAAAAGTCTAGTGTGCAACATGTGGGGAAAAGTGCTTCTCTCACTCGTGTGTTTGCATCACTCGCCCTTCACGCTCGTGCCACAAACTTTCACACTCGTGAGAAAAGTTGAACTTTCTCCACTCGTTGCACAATATACTATTTCCGCATAACGTCTAAACGGTAAAAACCACCAGATTGATATTTTCTGCTTTAATGTATGTTGATAAGATACAGTTTTCTGATACACTTTTACATTTCTGAAATTGTTATAAACGGTGTTTGAAATGGGTGGGTTATTATTTTTTGTATAAAACTCTTTTCCTCTTATTTTTTTTGTGAAAAATAGAAGCATTTTATAAAACTAAAAGAAATACATAAAAACGATACTCTTATCGGAAAACAAAAATTGTAATCGTTTTCGAGATATTTGAGTTTTAGTTATAACATGATATGGAGGCTCAGAATCTTCTGGCTGGACACCATCTCTCTTTTTACGCAATCTTTGCACAATACTTAAAATTGTTCTAGAATTTGGAACGCGTCGAGCAGGAAACGAATAACCAGTAATTTCTTAAAAAAACTAAACAAGGAAATTAACAATAAAAATGCTCATTCATGAATGTCAATATCAAGAACAAAATTGACCATGGCCTCCCGAGTGGCCTCCTAATATATTTAATATCAAGTGACTACAAAAACTCAAATATTTCGCAAATGGTTGAAATTGTTGTATTTCGATAGAAGTTTTTAATGAAATTCTTTTCGCTTTATCAAATGCCTCTATTTTTTCATCAGAAAGAATACGAAGAAAAAAGTTGTCTTTAAAAAATCATGACCAACCCACTAAAACACCCTTTATAACAGTATCAGAAATGAAGAAGTGTATAAAAAAAATGTGTTACATCAACAGACCTTTATGCAAGAAATCGCAATTTCGTGACTTCCACCGTTTAGAAGTTATGCAATATACATTTTGAGATATCAGTTCATTCATCAAACGATTCTTTTTTTTTTATTGTTTAATTATTTTAATGTACAATCACCTCCAGAAAACTTGATACACATTTTTGACTCGCCTTGTATAGAGTGTCCCAAAGTTATACACAAAAAATGCAACTGCAGATTCTATGAACAAAAATAGTCGAAAATGTTTATCTGAACATATATGGGTTGATGGTGTTATACCCATTGAAGGCGCGCATGATATGAGGGATTTTATATCAGGATATAAGATTTTCGATAACAGTCATTTGGGTCATTTACTGTCTACATAAAAAATCAACAAAATTTCAGGATAGAAATGATTTTGTATGATAATAATTTAGTAATGAGGTCAAGTTGTGGTTTTCTGATAGGTCATGAACTTGTTTATCACCAGCTAGAGTATGGTCCATGGCTAATCAGACACCTTGTATATAGACCTTCGCCTTTTCTTTTGGCTTTGTCTGAGTCGGGTAAAAAATAGAACGATGCGATCAAAGCAAATAGGTATGTCTGTATGTCACTATTTTCATTATCATAACAAATTATTATTCAAACATTCGTGAGGTTAAGTACTGCCATTTTCAGGAAAATAAATCAAAAATCAAAAATAATGAAGTGGGGGTCGCTATTTAATATTTCAGGGGTAATTGCCTTGACGGTGAAGAAATATAATATAACAATAAAACCTCAAGAGTTGATGTAAATCAACGTGTTTCGCCAAAATTTCATAGTGTCATGAGTTAAAGAAATACCTATTGAGTGCTGCTCGTTTTCAAATTGTCACCCTGTATATGGCGTTCAACAGTTATGCTGACTTTCCTCGCGTGATAATAATTATATTTGTTACTTACATTTTATCAGAACATTCCTTGAGAATTTCAAGGTCCCAATTTCAATAATAAGTTGCAGTTTTCGTCACACTGAGGAAAATTTCTACTAACCATAGTCAGAAATCGAATTATCCCAGCAAGAAAACCTAATAGTATAGGGGACAAGCGAGTTATCACCAGTGATTATAAAGTCGACTTTGCAGATTTTTTTTTTATCGCTTGAAGCGCACGAAAGGGAATCCCTATAATGTTCAAAGAACATCGTGCGTTCCTATAGGGAGGTAAGGAGGTAAGGAGGTAAGTATAACCCACCTGCGATTATTAGATACACTAGCGAGTGCATTTGTATAATGCTATCTGACGTTGTTTCTGTAGTAGGTATATGACTTTGCTACCGCTAGTGAGTGATCTAATAATATAGGAGTAGGGCAATATTGTAATCATAGGTAGAACTTTGCTAATCTTGCTGGGTGGTCATATAGATAGTTGCATGACCTTTTTGCTGTAGTTATTAAGTTATTCTCCAGGATTATCGTCATAAAAAAGTCGAAATTTCGACTGAAATCCAATTTCATTTTCTATAATTCTCATGCACCCTGGTGCTTGGTATGAATAGCAATTTATTGATTCCTAAAGAAAATTTTGAACCGATGATCTTTGAAATTCAATAGATAAATAACAAAACGCTTAGACATGTCGATTGATATTTTTAAAAGAGCACTCTTTTCAATGAAAACTTTCTATTCGAGGTGTGTCATCTAACAGCGTCCAATACCAATTTTCTTATTTCAAAGCAACACCCTGTATTTCCTACAATTTTTGAATTCTATCTTATTTTTCAACGGTTTCCGAAATATGTTTCATGAAATAGGCGAGATCTTTGAAAAAAATTGGACCACTTTGACAGGGGTTGGAAGGTTTCCATGATTTTATCTAAATGCCAGCCAAGCTTTGATCATCCTGAAGTACCAGGATAATATATGCTGCTGAAGAATCAATTTCCTAAGAAACTTGTTCCTTCGTAATTCCGAGCTTTTTACAGGTACTGTAATATGTGTCTGGAGATCGCAGTTCCAACCGAAACTAGTCTCACTTTGATGTGATATAATTCGGGGTCGACCGACTTGGTTTTATTTGTTTTTCTTCAAGAAAATTATGACCGTGAGTTATCTAAATCATCTGAAGATTTGTTAGTTTGTGTAAAACACTCAATATTTCCGAAGAATTCAAAAATTCAATGAATACAGGGTAATACATTAGAAATAAGAAAGTTGGTATTGGCCGCTGTTATATGACACAACCTGTATAGAGAGTTCTTGTTGGATAGAATGCGCTTCTGATCAATCGACGTGTCCGAAAGTTTTTTCGAACATGTCCCCACTTAATCACTATCGAATTCATTCCATTTGGCTGATACACACTGTATGTATTATGAAAAAAAAATATAGCTTAGTGGAGTGAAGATGAAAGGGCAGGAAATAGTTATTTTTGTATCTAGAGCGCGTAATGCTACTTTGGTGATCGAGATCTGATTCGTAGTCAAGTTAAAAAAAATAGTCGAGATGAGTATTTCGCGCTCGAGTTGCAAACAAAATGTCTTCTACAAACATAAAAAAATATAGTTCTAAAGTAATAATATGCTTAGCTTGATATAAAAAATAGTGTTGAACTGGCTTAAAAGGCCTACCCCTATCCTCCCTAGATACGCACGATGTTCCACGAACATAATAGGAATTTCCTTTCGTGCGCTCCAAGAGATGAAACAAAGTGCGAAGTAGGTACTTCGCGCAATGTTTCACTTCGTTTTGTGCAAGGTATCATGATAACGTAGGAAACTGACGTGTCACTTCGCAATTTTTTATCAATGCGCTAACCTTGTCATTTTTTGACGTTTGTAGAAAATAAATCTTAGACTTACTTCATGTTTGACACCATATTTGCCTCGTTTTCCCATCCACTCTCCGACTGTCCGAGCCAAGTAATGATGTATATTTTTTACTTCAGAAAGAAATCCTAAACTACTTCCGAAATTATGAGGATATTACTAATTTAACAAAGGCAATCCGCATTCAATTGCGGACCCTTCATTTTTATTCAAACAATTTTTAATATGTAAATTACATTTTTGTCTTTTCATCATGTGAAATATTTTAAATTTTTCCCAGAACAGGTGAGGATTATCTGACTTTCATTATCTGAATCATAGTGGAAGGAGAAGATGAATGCTTGTCTGACGTAATTTATTGTCTTTCTCATCGTAGTACTTCCTGTATCAAATAATGTTTGCTGATGTAAAGTATAGTTTTGGTGGACTTGACTGTATGATTTTCTTCCTGCACTATGATTAGCATCATTGGGAAATTACTTTTATTCATGCTCGTTGAACAATATACTATACCTACACTGTGTTCTGATGTAATACACTATGCGTCCACCTTCGTT